CCTACGACCTAGCCGACCCTGAAACAGAAGGGTCCAAAACGTAATTTCCCCAATGTATTCTTGTGTAGATTTGCTCCATGTGTTTGTTTTCTTCATGTTAAAACTGAAATTTGGATCCATTGCTGAGAAGTTATCACAATAGAACATTGGGACGAGGTGAAACGACGGGTAAGTCTTTGAAAATATAGATGTTGCGTTTGATCGAAGTAGATAAAAAGATTGGAGAAGTAACTCATTGACTATTCATCATCAATTGCCTAGAAAGCAATTATGATTCAAGCCAGCTATGTTCAGCTATATACAAGTCATGAGGAGATAGAAGAAGCGGAGAGACCGAACCTATATCAATCTACCCAACTCGAGTCTTAGTTGTCACTGGTGCTGATCCGCGGTTCCTTAAATATGTGAGACCAGGTGGTAAAAGATCGAGTTAACTCTAAACGGTTACATTTTGAAGGGACAATCCTATGCAAAAATCTTAAAACTATACCTTAATGTTTCGAAATTTGTCAAAGCAACCGTAAACGGTCGAGCTAGCTCTTAAGAAGATACAAAAATTTGTAACTAATTATATTTTCGATGTCCCGAAATAACCTATCCAATCAAAATCTTGTCGAACATTAATTTGGTTGATGATGGTCGAAAGAAGATACTTTGTGCTTGGTGGTCTTAATGCATGTGCCTGTGCGGTCCATAAATACTGGACCTCGTCAAACGAATTAATAATGAAGATGGATCCAAAAAAGAAAGTACTGGGCCTATGTTAGAGAGGCCTCAGTATGTCGACTCCTAAGTCCTAACTGAAAGATGATTGAATAATCGGCCCAATAAACCGGAACTCTGGCCCATAGGTCCCCACACGGTTACCACCTAAATCTACGACCTTACTGTCATTAATTAATTTAACACCAAACCTAATTATTATGGAACCGCCCACACAGTTGGCAAAGAAAGAACGAAAGAAGCATCCCATTAGCATTGCGAGTCCACCGCCCATATCATTATTGTTATATTTTGAAACAAATGATAATGTAAACCAAGTCAACTAACTGACTTTTACTAATATTAACGTGAATGCATGATGTTTCTCGTCTGCCATGGACCGCGAATTCGTCGAGTCGACTTCAAGAAGTTGGTCTAATGATAATTTGAAATTTGTGGAGTCAATTTGCTTCTCGAAATATTCCGAGGAAATTTCTCTTCTATTGTCTTGGGGTGGACCTAGCTGGGCTGGGCTGGGTAGCCCAATTGTTTACTCCACTTAACTTGGTCCACAAACCTCCCAACATTGCTTCATGGTGGCGCTCGGTTGCGTGGCGGCGGCTCGGCACTCAACTAATTGCGGGGGGTTGTTTAACAATAGTACTAAAACAGAAATAAATAGAAAAGTCAACTGCGATTTATTAACAATAAAGAAGCCATCAATATGTTTGGTGAAAATTTTCAGACATTTCAATCGATCTTGAAAAAAAAAAAAATGAAACAAAAGGAAATTGTGGTGATACCGTACGTTTGTTGGTTGAGAACACAACTACTGCTGGTCCATAGTTCTTTTTCTGATAATTAATAAACAGTGTTGTCAAACTTTTTCACATTTTTTTTATCTAAACCCATTAAAATGCTATTAATTAGACAAATTTTTCGTAACGCATCAAAATATTAACCATTTTTACGTTATGGTTAATAATTCTGTAATTATTTTCTTAGTTAAAATACTAAAATTTTGGAATGTTGATTTCTATGTTTCTCTTCCAAGTTAGTATCATGTTGCCAAGTCAATATTACTAACAAAATTGCTAATCAAAAGTTACCATTTGGTTAAATCTTAATATTTCGATAAATTTGCCTAATAAAAATGTCGTTCTAAAAAAAATTCCAACGACAGGGCTCGACTCTAGCGTGTGTCTCTGTCTGAGTGCCTCACGCCATGAGCAAAATGAGTCAAACATGGCACCAATCACAACAAACCATCATCATGTCTTCATCCAATCAACATGTTTGTCAATTCAACAGTTGCCACCTCAACATCCATTCCCATCATCTCATCAATCCAAAATTAGCCAGAATGGTGGCTTTAATTTGGATACGTAACCAAATGGTCACTATACTTTTTTAAAAAGTTATAAAATGATCACATAAGTATCACCAAATAGCAAAATGGTAATTTCATCAAGCACAAGGCTGAGTTTAACATAAACGCCATATCTTTGTTACACCATTATTCCTAACTCACTTCTATGCTCTATGCCAACCTTACCTGCCAATCCTCGTAATGTCGCTTGTTTCGTTCCAGTAATTCACTAGACATCCCACCGACCGATCGCAATCTGATCAAGTCAAAGATATGACAATGAGATTTCACGCACTACTGAAACACACTCTGAACAAAAGGAGCAGCAAATAGAATGTGATTTCTTGTTTCAAAATCCACCTTGACAAAAGAACACAAGAGTCTATCAACTTACTTCTCCTATGCATGGAGCCTATCATGCCTGACCATAGTCTATTTTGCATAACAAACCAGAGCAGAAATGATGTTAGGATGAGACCACAAATCCAAACGAAAAGGGTACGAAGGCACTTCAATTTTCATGTAATTTGATTGATTCTCGTAGCGTTTATTGTCTACTTATGCATTTTTCACATCATTACATGGTCATACTAGAGCCACTTATGCTTGTAGTAAATGATTGAGCAATTTATCTGCACTTCATAATGCCCTTCCAAATCCCACGAGCCAGTAGAAGATGGAGCAAGATTCCAAAGAATGTTGTATGAATCAATTTTAAAGTAATTAGTGAAATTTTCAAATAGAGAGCAAGCAAATATCCAAGATGAACCCATAAATAAATAAATAAACCTTCTTAAATCCCATCAATCCCCTGAGCTGATCCATTGGTGAACAAAACAAAACAAAAAACAAAAATATTATGATGTTTATTTATAGAATATATTTATTCTTCATGCATATAATTGTTTTCAGGTTAATTGCATGGTTGGTCACTGAGATTAAAAAAAACTTCATGTTTGGTCTCTACAAATATTTAATTCTGTTCATGGTCATCAGGTTTAGTAAAATAGGCCAAGTTTGGTCACTCTCCGTTAACTTCCATTAGTCTCCGTTAACAACGTTAGTTTTTTGCTGACGTGGCTAACAGACATGCTGAGTCATTCAATTTTTTTTTTTTAAAAAAAAGATAATTGACCTGCCATGTCAGAAACCCACCACATAACCCTGTTAAGTGTTAAATTACTCAACCTTACTAACCAAACCCAAAAATCGAACCGGCTAACTTAAACAATACCCATTAAAAATAAAAATATTGTAAAAAAACAACAAAGGCTCTCTTCCTATCTCACGATCTGTTCCTCTTCTTCCTCTTTGACCGAAAACCAGAATCATCGCCTCCTGTAGTTCCTCTTCTTCCCCTGCGACAGCTTCGACCAGTCCCGAGTATCGCCAGAGGCGGTCGGCGGCAGTCCGCTTCTTATCCCCTCTCCCACCTCAGCTACCACGTCAGGAGATCTTCCGCCGTCAACACCACAAACCTCCACAAACCACTCGCCGCAGGTGCTCCCCTATGGTTTTTGCCTCCCCTCGGTCAGAAACCCCAAAGAAAATAAAATCCAAAAACACACATGCATTTAGAACATCGTGCCGTCGTTGTAAAGTCGCCGTAGCCGGGTCTCGGTGATGAAGCGAGAAACAAAGGAGATCGCGGCGTCTGTCTCTAAATCTCTCACTGCCGCATCGATCTCCGAATTTCCCCCAAAGTCGTCCCTGGTCAAAGTCGATCTCCAGATTCCCCCGCTGCTCGAGTCATGCAATTCGTGGGGCTGTTGTTGTTTCCAATCACTAAGCCGATGAGGTTATTACGGGCCTAGATCTGATGGCGACAGAGGCCCAAAATCATCTTCCCCCTGTTTTCCCATTGGCAGGGCAGAGCTCCCAAATCCCTCCATCAAAGAGAAGAAGAGAGAGGTGAGAGGCGACAAGCACCAACTTCACGATCTGCCTCCGCGATGGAGTTCTTCGTCTAGACTTTCGTCACTGTCGAATGAATTCGACGATGAAAGAGGTGGGAGTGAGATCGTGGATGTGTATTCAGGGAAGAGGAGTAGGTTACCAGGAGATGTTAGGATGATGGGTTGCTTCCACCTGATTTGGTCAGAAGATGGGTATCGCAGATGGGTGGGGAAGAAAGAGGGTCCATGGTTTTTTTAATCTTTAATTTTTTATTTTAAAAGCTTAATAATAATCTGACGTGGCGAGTTCTAGTGACATGGCGGTCGGATTTTATGACGTGGCGAGTTAAAAAGGGGTGAATCAGCATGTCTGTTAGCCACGTCACCAAAAAACTAACGTCGTTAACGGAAGTTAACGGAGAGTGACCAAACTTGGCCTGTTTTATTAAATCTGGTGACCACTAATGGAATTAAATATTTGTAGTGACCAAACATGAACGTTTTTTGTAATCTCAGTGATCAACCATGCAATTAACCCAATTGTTTTCTGTTCAATTAAATTAAATAATAATAAAATCTCACCTTGCACTGGCTAATGGGTCCTGCCGACCCGGAAGGTCATTTAATTTCATAAATTATCTGTTGCCCCTTAATTTCTCGTTCGGTTAGGTTATTCGGTTGGTACAAATTCCCCCGCCAACGATTCTAGTTTAGTTTAGAGTTTAGACGATCCTTTTCCATTTTATCAAAACAAAACGAAATATAATGTCCTAGGTCGAGTCTCCCTTTTATTATTTTAGTTTATCTCCCCTAATCCACTACGTATTAAATTAATAATATTAAGCTTCTTGGTGACGACTTTCCATTCCAATGACTAAATTACCCCTTCTTTCCCCCCACCAACCCGAATAAAGTTGTTAGAGCAGCGTGTCTATTTCCGTCAAACCCAGGAAAGAATGTCATTTTCCCGGGCCCGGCCCTTGATTATTAATTACAATTAATGAAATGAAATCATTTTTGTTTTGAATTTGATTCTCATTTTTGAAAAATTTCCCCTTTTCTTTCTGTTTTAGTGTGGCGTGAAAGCGAAGTCTCTCTCTATCTCTTTCCCCCTCTCTCTCTCTCTCTTGCCTGTTTCTTTCACAACTCTATGCCCTCTCCGCCCCGCTGCTTCCCTCTGTAATTTCCCTTTGTTGATTCTCTGTCCATCTCTTTCTCCGTCTGCAACGAGTTTTGGCGTATTCAATTCCTTCCCTTGTCTGTCACGCCCACTCCGTGAAAATCGAGCTGAAAGCTCTGTTTCCTGAGAAGTAGATAGTTTTGAGAAGGGGGGAAAAAGGGATTCTTTCTCTGTTCTGCTCTGTTGCCGGCGGTCGGTGGAGATGTTGGTCGAGAGGAGAGTGATGATGAGCTGGCGGAGAGTTGGCAAGTCTCTGCAAGGCCTTGTAGCCCATACCCTTCTCTTCACTTTCACCCTTTTGCTTGCGCTCAAGTTACAGCTCTCTGTTTCCTACTCATGGTGGTAAGTTCTCTTTTTCTGTTTCTCTTCGGTTGCTGGGCTCTGTTTGTGCGCAAATGTTAGTTTGGAAGTACAGGAGGAATCATGGGGTTACTGGGCTCTGTTTTCGCTCCTATTTTCGTTTTTTTCTTGAATTAGGATTGATTTGGACATGAATTTGCGGCCTTTTTTTAAAAAAGCATTTCGTATTCCAGTTGTTGCATGTATTTGGATCGTTGGATGGTCTGAAAAAAACTTTCCTTTTCCAGCTTTACTTAAATGGTCCAAATTTTTTTTTTCTTTTCCAGATGCTCTCATTTGCTGTTTCTTCTCATTTGGGGTCTCGTAGTTTACTTGACCCCAATTGGCGGTTGGGAATTCTCCGACTTTCCTTTTCTTATATTACTAAATAGTAAATACTAATGGCTCCTTTCAAGTTTGGATTTCTGGTGCCTCTCCTATTTCAGATTTTCCACTGGATAGTGGTTTTGGTCCTACCACTCTGCTCTTTTTCAGGACATGGATTTTACACAAGGCTGGGTGATATATAGATGATTTGGTTTCTTGGTTCAGATTTATGGTTCGTCTCTTTGTGTCAAATCGAGGGTCATAGGATATTAGCTTTCTTAACCATAAAGCATGCCAATAAATCCCCCTGTTTTGTTACCAAACACTGGTTCCAACTTCCAAGCAACCTTTGCTTTGTCTTTGGATTGCTTTGTTTTGATGGGAATATTTTGGCTTTATGGGATGTGTGTCCCTGCCCTATTATTCTTGAGGGATCGATCAGGGTGTGATTGACATGAGTGTATTGTGATAGGGATGGGCTTGCTTCTTCATACACCTCAATTCTAACAGGGGTTTAATGATGAACCCAGAAAGCAAAAGTAAAGTAAATCCAACTACTTTGAGTTTAAAAGAAGGAACTGTAACATCTCTTGTCTGGCCCACAAAATTTAAAGCAGTATCTTGAAGCTCAGCTACTTAGGAGGACCAGATTTAAATTAGAGTCAGGTTTCCCTTTCACTCCATCTTTAGATAACTTTTGGGGTTACAGTGACTTGCAATCTGGCAATTGTCTGCTACTTACACACCACCTCTGTATCTCACTCTGTTCTTCACCGATCTCGGTGGGCTCACGCCATTGGCAGTCATTGATGAGCTGATTCAGCTGTACTTATAGGAGGTTGATGATGTTGGTATTGTTCTGCATTTGATAGAAGTGGCAAGAAGTTGGTGCTTACTGAATTCTTGTTGATAAAAGTGAGCAGTAGTTTGTAACTGAAGTACTTGGAGGAAGTAGTTTTTCTTTCCTAAATTGTTTGATGGTGTGATTCAACGAAATGGATGGTTCTGATTGGAAGAAGGCGTGGCATGAGATGAGAGAAGGAATAGATTGGACGAAAATGATTGTTTTGTAAGTCTGAAGATGGGATTTGGTAGGTTGATGAGATTGTTCATGATGTAATGGTTTGAGAAGGAAGAAGGCCTGAAACTTTTATAGCGTTTGTTATAACTTCAGGATGGAGCTAGGTTGAAACTAGGAGGGGCTGTATCCTCCCTCAATTATGAAATATAGGTTAAAGTACATGTAAAATTTGCACAAATTTAGGAATTAGAATAATCGGTGAGGCTTTAGCACCCCCTCCCCAATTACGATAATTCAAGTTAGTCCCCATCGTTCGGACTCCTGGCCCCGCCACTGTTCAGATGCATGCATGCGTCTGGTGTTTAAAGGTTAGGAAGTTGACAACAGGTCTTAACTACTAATTAAACACACGGTCTTTAAAACATATATACTAAATTAAGGACATCAAATGTGTGCAGTGTCTTTGTTATTATGGCATGAATACAATAACTATGATGTCCTCAGTTGAAGGTTTACTCTTGTAACCGTCTTCTAGTTGGTGTAATCTGCAAAATCATTATGGTAATCATCAAATAGCATCCTCATTGTCTATTTTGCGTAGGCTAATGTTTCGATCTATTTCATTGTTTCATGTGTGTTTTTCTGATGTCAATGGAAGTTCTTTTCACATTATTAAGTTGTATCTTGCTTGTCTGTTGTCATGCAGTGTTATTTTTGCACCTTTGTGGCTATTTCATGCAGTCATAGCTCGTGGCCGGTTTTCTTTACCAGCTCCATCAATGCCTCATGATCGCCACGTATGTATGTTATGGAATGTTTCTTTTTTTTATTTCATCTTACTAGGTTTCTCTTTTATTGTAAAACACTTTTCCTTATTACAAGGAGCCAGATTATAATTTCTTGCTTATCATGTGCAGTGGGCACCAACACATGCTATCTTGGCAACACCATTGCTTCTTGCTTTTGAACTTCTCCTTTGCATACACCTGGAAGGCAGTTATGGTAATACAGCATGATCAGCATATATAATACAATCTCATAGCTTTATTCTGCAATTCTAGTCTCTCTTGATTTTGGATCGTGATTCATTGCTTTAACCGTTCCGGGTATATGGAAGTTATTTGAGCTGGTCATTATATTTATCAGTTTTGACCTTGTTAAATAGTACGTTGACATCTGTTTTCTACATATTTTAACTTTTTGACTTCCTAACTTTGTTCTATTTCTGCACAATGCAGTTGTAGACTTGAAGATTGTGTTCATGCCATTGATAGCATTTGAAATGGCTATTCTGATTGATAATATCAGGTACCCTCTCAAATTCCCTTACCTTTTCTGTCTGGTAGATCATGCTGGTAGATGCATGCACATAAACATTTAAGTCAAATCACTTGGCCAGATAGCATTTAAGTTATCAATGCTAGTGCTGTATTAATCCACAGGTTGTATTGCCTTGTTTGAGCATCTAACTTCTGAGCTGATTACCTGTCATGTTTGTATGTTTTTAATTGTACTTGGATTTCTTTTCTTTTCATTTCAGTTCTCCTTTTTTCATTTTCTAGAAACCTGAAACAAGAATTCAGTTGTTTATGAGATCTAACTGCTTGGCTGCCTGACTGAGGGGCACTGCATCTTTGAATACTAGGATGTGCAGTTTGGAGACGCTGTATTTTGTTTGTTTGTCAGAATAACTATGCTATCTCAAAGCACCAATTTCTCCCTTCTCTATAAAAAAAATGAGAAAGTTGTGATGACTTCAGGAATGGTAACTGACTGTCATTTGACCAAAAGATCATGTTTCTTTTTGGTGTCTACTAATTGGTTTTCGTCAGTCTTTGTATCTCTGTTGTTGTTGGAATCCCAACTCCACTGAAAGCAATTCGTCCATCAGAAATGTTGTTGTGTTACAAATAACATGGAGTCATTTCAATTGCATAATTTATTTATGTTTTCAATAGCTAACACGAGCTTTTGATTCTATTTCGTTGTTACTAAAGGATGTGCAGAGCTCTTATGCCTGGGGATGAAGATAGCATGAGTGATGAACAAATATGGGAGACCCTTCCTGTAAGTACTGTGACGTTTATTTGTGCTTGCCATGCAAAGACGAATAGCTCCTGCTTCTTGAGTGTTGAATATATATAAATGTTAACTCCAGACAAGCTTTGGTAGTTTTGAAGCTAAGACCGGCCTCTCTAATCTATTGAGCCAACTTTGGAAAACAAAAGATGTATGCAAGTCTTGTCTTTTAGTAAGAAGTGGTAATGATTTTAGGTTTGATCAATGAAGATTCCGAGATTGATGGTACAATCAGTATTATGTCATTAACAAGATTTTATGCTTGTTCAAAGTGGTTCTTAACCCGCATAAAGGCTAGTACAGGGGAACTTTGCTTCTCACCTTTGGATTTTGAGCAGTTAGCTTATATTTTATTTTTAACATGTCCACAAATGTTAATACCATACCTATGATGTTTGCTTTTTAGCACTTCTGGGTGGCAATATCCATGGTCTTCTTCCTTGCCGCAACAGTATTCACTCTTCTGAAATTATGTGGTAAGTTTACTTGAGTCCTGACTTAACCACATTGCTATTTTGCTTTATATGGTGCATTGTATTACCTGGTTTATGAATCTTTCTTCCTAGTAATTCTAGAGAACTCAGCCCAAGGTGATAAAAACATAGAAGTCATTTTTTGATTGGTTACTAACAAAATGTAGGTCTTGCTCACATTTTTTATTACTGAGCATGCTGTTATCTTAAACGGAAGAAATAAAATGTTAGGAAAAGAGTGAAGATGTGACAGTCTCAGCATTTCGTGAACCCAAGGGGTGAACTTGGTGGTAACGGGGGATGAAAGCATCCAATCACCGGGCTGCGATCCCTTGGGCCAACATCACCTATATATATGAAAAAAACAACACATAGATTGTGGCCTAGTAATTGCCTAAGTTATAATTTAGATTTGGCAGCAGCTTGAGTCTTCTGTGGCAAGATTGCTGGCTTCTTAGCATGGCCGAGTCTCTGTTTCATATGAATGTTTGCCACTCATAGTCAGAAGATGAAATAGGATGGATGATGTAATAATTTTTGATGCAGCAGAATAAAGTACATGAAAGCGAACTATTTGTTGCTTATTCTTGTTGCCAAAAGCATGAGCACTTAAGCAGTATCACATAATAAAAAAATTTATTGCTTCATCAAATTGTACTTGAAAAACGAAGTAATTGATGATAGTGACATAAGTATGATAGTTGGCAGATCAGACTTACGGCACCATCTTGTCTGATTGCTTTAGCCAAATAACTGTACAGGTAGCTTATGCGACACTTCACAATCCAGTATGTTTATCTCTGCATCAGATACTGTTAATTCCCATGGTGATCTGTTCTGAACCTTAACTGTATGCAGGTGACGTGGCAGCTCTTGGTTGGTGGGATTTATTTATAAACTATGGGTATGCTGTTATTCCTTTCGTATAAAATGCTCTTTCATGTCTGATTTCAAGCTAAACTTCCCTGTGCATTCTTATTTAAAGAACTTTGGTTCTGCCTGTACAGTATTGCAGAGTGCTTTGCTTTTCTGGTCTGTACAAAGTGGTATAATCCAGTGATTCATGATCATTCTTACATTGGAGGATCTAGCTCGTCTTCGATGGGTATTGGGTACCTGGACTGGAATAGGGGTTCAATGTTTTCTTCAGATGAAGATACAAGTACTAGAATATGCAACCTGCAAGATATTGGAGGACATTTCATGAAAATTCCTTTTCTTACTTTCCAAATCATGCTCTTTATGCGGTTGGAGGTATGTTAAACATTCAGCAGTCCCGCATGTGAATAATAAAGCCATATCTTACTTTTCTGCTCATCTAATGTTTTCTTTTATGAGTTCAGGGAACACCAGCTGGTGCCAGAAATATACCATTTCCTTGTCTTTTTGCTCCTCTCTTCATGGTACAAGGAGCTGGAGTACTTTTTGCTGCTTATAGATTGGTTGAGAAAATTGTGCTTTTACTGAGAAGTGGAGCTTCTGCTGGTAGCTCCTTTGCCCTACTGTCAAAGGCTCGGGAGTTTCTTGGATTCATGCGACGTGGATCTAGGTACTACTAAGTTAGGTGGAGTCTTAAAAGCTACAAATGGTCCAGCAGCATTGATAACTCATATTTCGTTCCATTTTACCAGGTTACTTGGTTGGTGGTCAATTGATGAAGGAAGCAGAGAGGAGCAAGCTAGACTGTATCATGGGAGCAGTTCTAGGTAATTTTTCTAGGCCAGGATTGATGACTTGCATGGAACCCTCGTTACATAATTCTATAAGCAACATTTTTCTTTGTTTGTTGATCTGAGTAATTCTCAGATGAGTGAGTGACTGAGTGGGATCATAGGTTAGTTTAATAGTTAAGTGTCAATGAAAGTATATGCCCTTCGCTTACATGGAAAACATGAAAGATTGAGTGATGCAGCTGCCAACTGTACTATTGAGAATTTGTAAGCAACTGCTGGTCTTATGAATTTGCTTACCTTCACGATTCAGCTACAACACTTTCTCTCCAGACATTGTCAGGAAGATGTCCAAATCAGAACTTGTGGACGAGGTAACTAATATATAATGTCTAGCCATCACATGCATATAATTTGGTTAGTTAGTTTAAAATTGATCAAAATGTCTGTTTCTTGCTGTATATCAGATATGGAAGCTACAGGCTGCACTTAGTGAGCAAACGGACATAACAAAGTATAGCCAGCAGGAATTCGAAAGACTGCAGAATGTAACATATGCAACCACCAACGCCTTCCGTTTGAGCTCTCCTTCTGGTATTTGTGCTAATTATTGATATATTGCTGTGCTTGTTCCAGGAAAAGATCCTGTGTAGAGTTTGCTTCGAGGAACATATCAATGTAGTCATACTTCCTTGTAGACATCATGCTCTCTGCAGGTAACATGGACTTCCCCCAAGTTTTGTTCATTTCCACTTTCCCAGGAAAGAAAAAAAATAAAATTTTGCTTGCCAAACAAGAAACCCACGTCATCTTCTGAATCGATCACATCTGTTGAAACGTTTGTTTGAAACTATATTGTGTCTTGTTTCTTTATTCAGCACATGCTGTGAGAAATGCAAGAAGTGTCCACTCTGCCGTGTTCCCATAGAGGAGCGCATGCCTGTAGATGACGTGTAGCGCCTAACTGGAGGTTCGCCTGTTTCTTATAGAGAAAGAGAAGCCTTCCTTGCTGCCTTAGGGTTTTAGGTTAAGCATGCAATGAGAAGCTGGTAAATATTAATGTTATTCCACAGTCTTTGTTCTCCTAGCTGATCAAGTTTTAATGCAAGTTTCTTAGTTGAAACCCTTGATCGAATCATAGAAACTGTAAATAGAAGTGTTAACCAAGTCAGAAGTATAGCCTTCTTGCTCAGTAGTAGCTCTTGTTTTTGTTCTAGTTGGTCACCTTTGATTTTGGCGGGAATTGACAGCAAGCTCAAGCAATGTATTGTTGTAAGAACAAGCAGCATATGTATCAGAAATGTAATATATATCTCAATCCCCGATTACACGAAGCACCTTTCAGAAATTTTGTTCTGCTTCAATTGCTCTTATTACCACTGAAGTTCTTCACCCCCCTGGTATTTATTACTTTTCATTCCCATACTGGATGTTTATTTCTGAACTGAAGGTTCCTGAAGAAGCTGCCTGTCTTTGACAATCATGGGATTTCAGCATCCTGCATCCTGCATCTCACGATTCGTGTTGAAGGTTGAGCGCGAAATCAGCGAACACTTGATCGACAGTCTGAAAGGTTTCGTCGGGGTAGAGGCTGCTGGCTTCTACATCGTTGACACCATCGATCTCGAAGTTCGATTGGCAGCCCTTGATGAATATGTCGTGGGTGAAGGATGCAACTATGCTCTCCGGAATCCGATTCTCTGTCAGAATCGAATCCAAACAGACAAATCGTAATCAACAGACTAAAAAGAAAGGAAGGAAGAAGAAACAATGATATAATGTGAGTTAAAACAGGTACCAGCAGCAAGAGCTAGCAGGTCGGCTTCTGTAACTGTAACGCGAGGGATGGTCCTGCCGAGCTTCTCCTCCCACAGAGAAGCCAGCTCGTTCATGTTGTGGTAGTTCACCGCGGGTCGAAAATGGACCGACTTGTTCAAGGCTCGAGGGTCGTCCACCGTCTTCATTGTGAACTTCCCGATGTCAGCTCCAGTCACAAAGTAAGCTGGTGGACATGTCTCATTCCATAGAGCAGTCATTAGTGTGGAAATGGAAGAATGAAAAAACCCACGAATGAATACTCGGAAGTTTATGACAGAGTGATTTGTTACCTTTGGCGGCGCCGTCGGCGTAGATGGGGAGGTGGTGGAGGGGAGGAGGGAGGTCGGAAGGGTGAGTGTTGTCGTGGTAAGGCCATGAAGCGATGGAGTTGCAGCAGATGTAAGTGTATGGGATGTGGTTTTGTTCGATGGAGCGCCTCACTTGCCTCTTTTGCTGATAGAAGGACAGCCCTGGCTCCACTGGGTTTGCTCTGTCTACGTCGTGACCGAACTCGGATGGCAAAAACCTCTGATCCACCATTTACACGAAAAAAACTATGAGAGAAAAACCAGTTGTGTGAATGGTACTTTATTATTTTGTGTACATTTAACCGCATAAAACTGTAAGAGTGTTTCATCTAATACCGTCAACATGGCGTTGATACGTTCACCTGTATATCAACACAGGATTTGAATGAAACAAAAATACATCTCGACATGTGTCAATAGATACCTTAATTGTTCTCCCATATCAGAAATCGAATCAAATTCATTGAAAGCCATAACATTTTGGTATGAGAGAAGTATGGGTCCAATAAACCACATAATTACTAGAAAAATATAAGAGAAAAATCAATTTTGTACATCAATGTAGATATCAGTAAAAGTGTCCACATCAACTCCTTGAATTAAGAATTCTTGTAATTTTAATTTTTAGATGTATGTGATTGACATAATTTTGTGAATGGTGCCTTTTAAAAATTTAACAGTTGAAATTAGGGGTGGGCACGTGGGTGGTTAATCCGCGGATTGATATCGATCCACCCGCAAATAACCTGACCCGCACGCAATGAATGATTGATGTGGGTGGATTGTGGATTGTTAAATCTCCCACCCGCACTTATCTGGGTGGATTGCGGGTCACCCGTATGACCCGCGTCCTATTTTTACATGGAAAAATATTGTTTCTTGTAGAATCGAATATTCATCATATTTTCGAACTGCACTATAGTCTGACCATATACTTCAAAAGGTGGAGAATAAGAATAGTTTTGACTACTATTATTGGTTATTGCGGTGTGCAATATCCATTGGCAATGGATATTGGTATGCAAATTATTGTTAATATCCATTAAATATTGGTACACAAACTATAAATTATTAGTTGTATCAAAATCACAAATTATTGATACAATCTTACTAATTTTCTATGAACTTATTATAAATGTTAGTCAATTTTCTTAATGGCTAGTTGGAGAATTGCTTTTGCGGGTTAACCCGCGACCCAACCGCACCTATCCGTCACCCACCCAACCCAACCCAACCCAACCTAACCCGCATAAGTATGTGGGTGGATTGCGGCACATATATTCCAACCCGTTAATAAGCGAGTGAGTCAATTTTAGACCAAAATCCACCCAACCCGCCCATTGCCCACTCCTAGTTGAAATTGTAGGAGTATTTCATCATAAAGTCAACATGTATTCACACTTCACACCTACACCTATATATCAACACAAGATTTTGAACGGAAAGAAAAAAAAACATCTTAAGCTCTGTCAATTGATACCTTAGTTCTTGTCCCATGTCGGAAAACGAATCAAACTCATTGAAAGTCGTAATATTTTTTGGTCTGGTATGAGCAACAAGAACGGTAACGTTTATTATAGATAACAAGGTTTTGGCGAGGGGATGGTGAATGAATATTACCTTAATGGTACCAACCGATTTGATAGCCTGGACAAGTGTAATCTGGTCAAGCAAATTCCCTCCACCTACCACTGATATCACGACCTCAATTTCATTCTCTTTCAATACCTTCTCCAAGCTTTCCCTCTCTGATATCGAACCCTGCAAAATTAATTCAATTCAAAGCAAAATTCTCATACAAAAAAACTAATATGAACAACATTTTTACGTTACATAATAAGTCAATCTAGCTTCGCACAAGATATGAACATAAGAACAAGTAATTATTTGAGTAATGAAATACCTGTACGATGATGGCACCTTTGTCCCGGAGAGACTCAAGTATTTGGACTTTTGAAGGGTCGCCGGCGGCGGAAGAGGTCAACCGAGTGAGAAGGTAGGTGGGTCGACCGGCGTCCAGGCTGGCCTCCGCCACATGCCGGCCGATGAGACCCGTCGCTCCGATGATCAGGACCCGGCTTTTGACGTTGGGAGTCGCCGGAGCCATATGAATCGGCCGCCGGTGATATGTAACGTGAGAAGTTAAGACTTTTGGGTAAAATATAATGAGCAAACTTTTGTTGTTCTCTCTGTCTCTATATATATATTATCACCAAACCAAAGTTAATTACCAACAACAACAAGTGATAATTGTTGAGATGAGTTAGCTGGTGATGGATGATCAGTTACAAGATCTTCTTGCTCCTGCCAACATTTTAGATAGATGTTTGTCTTTTTTATTCTTGTTTTCCATTTTAGTGTGTTTGGTTCTTACTTAATTCCACAATATGACTATGGTAACTTCCAAGTCACTCTGATGTGGATAAAATGGTCGATTGTGTCCACAAATGGTCGGTCGAATTGTAAACGTACAACGAGATTCAATCATTACAAACGAAAAAGAACGATGTGTTGCGGATGGTTGCTTATATGTTGTGGTCGCGCGACACGATGATGAAAGTACCGATCTCCATAAATAAACCGATCAACCACAACACGGAGAGGTCAATCTGTTAGGTTAAAAATATATTTACATACCTCACGTGTGAACATATGCAGATCGGTTTGGACCAGATTCTACTGGTACCGGTGGCAAAATCGGCTGGAATAGCACCGTTATTAAGCTATGGTCAAAGCCGGTCGAAACCCGAAATGCCGGTGGTCCAACCGGAAGGATAGATTCCCGGTCCATTACCATTTGCGGCGTCGTTTTTCACTCGGATGGTGGAAAAAAAATATTGTTTTGGGATTTTTCATTTTCGCGATGAGTTCTTCAGCTGACTCGACAGTCGGCAAGCCGAGAGTCGACCCAACCTCACACCTCTTCACCTTCCTCCTCGCGAATCCTAGACTAGAAATCAACCGCCTTGCCTCCGGTTGACTGCTGAGGCTCGCCGTCGGACGCTCCAATCGTAAATCCAGAGTAGCAGAGGCTGATCGGTGGGCGAGGCGGCCATCTGCTTCCTCTTCTCCTGCCTCCTTGCGAACCCTAGAAATCAACAGTGGTTCCGGTCGATTGCTGAGGCTCGCCCGCGGGCAGCTCCATTCCCAAATCCAGAGTAGCAGATCGGCGGACGAGGCCTCGAGTTTGAGGGTGCCACCAAGTCCATCCTCTTCCTCTTCTCCAACTCGACCATCCCATATCCAGTGTAGCAGGACAGATCGGCCGCTTCAATCCCACACTCCAACGCAGCAGGTGCGGCACGCGAGTCGGCGACCAGAGGTGAGTTAATTATGTATTACCCTTTTTCTTCGTCGCAAATAAACTGCCTGTATATTCAGGTTTGAGCAGCCGATAGGAAGGACAAGATTGGTAGCTGAATTCGAGTGTCACTTGATTCCAAATCTTGATTGCATCAGCTTTACATTATTGATTCAACTAGTTCCAATTTCTCAAGTTAATAACTCATATTTACATTATTGGGGTGAGCAGTATAGGCTTTGGTAGTTTGATAATCAGAGAAAGAAATTTGGATAAAACTAATGAAGTAACGATAGAACAATTGGGTTAGAAAGTTAATGATTGAAGCAATGAGTTACTGATTGGATTGGTGGTGAGCTTTTTCTGTAGTTGTTGCCATTAGGAAATAGATATATGGAGATGGAATCGGGGAGGGGTCATCTTAATATCCCACTAAGAGAGTTGATGTCGCTGCTGCTGGTAGCAGTAGCGGTGGTCATGGAAGCTGCAATGTAGTTGATACTTATGCCCTTTGTGGGTGGCAGGTGACTTTCGATGCACTGGATGCAGTTGGATCTTTTGGCTGATTTTGTCATTCAAACCATACAGTCTGAATCAGCAATATCTCTATACAAGGTCAGCTCTCTCTTGCAGCTAGAAGAATAAAGATACACGTTCATCTTTCTCTGTACAAGTTCAGCTTTCTGTTGTCAGCATACAAAGGGTACTACTTTATCTGCCAGCTTTTGTAACTGGGTTTTGATGGGTTATCAAGTTGAATAAGCATGGTTGAGGATCTAGGCTGCTGGGGAGGTTGTTGGTTATCAATTTAGGCTGCGAAACTGAGAAATGGTTCTACTTTAATTATGTTTTATACAGAACGTAGAACTGCATAAGTCGACCTGGCCAACTATTGGGTTGAGAAATGGAGGGGAATACATCACAAGGAGGCATGATTTCCGGTGGCCCTCCTTTTGGGGGCTTTGACTTGCAAGGATCAATTACAATGCGTCACCAAGTCCTAGATCAGCATCCTTTACACCACCAGCACCACCACCACGGGTCTTCAGGTCATCATTCAATTCATGACAGTTTCCCACTTACCATGGGAACCATGCACAGTGCTGACCCTTCTCTATCTATGTCGGATCACAAGAAGGTGGAGAGAGGGAAAAACAACTCACCCAGTGACGACGAGGAACCAAGTTATACTGAAGAAGGTGCCGATGGTCACAATGAATCAAATAGAGGGAAGAAGGGTTCTCCCTGGCAACGTGTGAAGTGGACAGATAAGATGGTTCGTCTTTTGATAACTGCTGTGTCTTATATAGGAGAAGATGAGGCATCATCAGATTGTGGCAGTGGTCGGATGAAAAGGAAATTTGTGGTTTTACACAAAAAGGGAAAGTGGAAATCTATTTCAAAAGTAATGGCTGAAAGAGGGTTTCATGTTTCTCCACAACAGTGTGAGGACAAATTCAACGACCTCAACAAGCGGTATAAAAAGTTGAATGATATGATAGGGAGAGGTACTTCCTGCCAAGTTGTTGAAAACCCAGCTCTTTTGGAAGTTATAGACTATCTGTCTGAGAAGGAGAAAGATGATATTAGGAAAATATTGAGCTCGAAGCATCTATTCTATGAAGAGATGTGTTCATACCATAATGGGAACAGATTGCATCTCCCTCATGATCCTGTATTGCAGCGTTCACTCCAGTTGGCTCTTCGTAATAGAGATGATCATGATACTGATGACACAAGGACTCATGAACATGATGATCTCGATGAAGATGATCGGGAGTTGGATACTGATGGTCATGATGAATTTGAGGATAATCATGCTTCACATGGAGATAGTCGGGCAGGACTTTATGGGCTTTTGGGAGGCCCCATGAAGAGGTTAAGGCAGACTCAAGGACAAGAATATGTTTGTCTTGGTGGATCTTCTCAGGATGGTCAAAAGGGGTCTTTTCCTGGGACCCACGCTACACAAGTTGACATGAACCAAATCTCTCCTGAAAACAAAAGTCAAGCTTGGCAGAGGAAGTCGCGAAGCCTTCAGTTAGAAGAACAGAAGCTGCAAATCCAGGTTGAGATGTTGGAGCTAGAGAAACAGCGATTCAAGTGGCAAAGATTTAGTCGAAAAAGGGATCATGAGTTGGAGAAGTTAAGGATGGAAAATGAGAGAATGAAGCTTGAGAATGAGCGTATGGCATTAGAATTGAAGCGCAAGGAAATGGGAGCTGATTTCAGTTGATGGTTAGTCAGTATCATAATCTATTTTTCCTTGATCACAAGTGTGCCATTTTTCTCAAGCATTTATTTTCCTAGTAAGATTGCTATTGATGGTAACTGGAGCACCATTTATTAGATGGATTTATGGGAATCGTAACAATACCCATGGGTGTCTTGTTCTGAATCCGATAAGCAGGGTAGTGTCTATGGCATGACGATATCTGTGTAGATCTTTTGTTTGTGTTTTCTAAACTCTGCCTTTTCTCTCCTGTATCAGGTTTTTCCTTTTGAGGTCAACTGTGAATTTAGAAACCAGATAGAGCTTCCTTTACATATATTTATCGATATTGTATGTGGCTGATGGCATATATCTATAAAGCCCAAATTATGCCCATCATGTTCAATGTATGGGTTTTTCTTCATATATAGTTTGTTTTTTTTGTAATAGTAGTGCAAGGTTTTTGCTTTACATTATTTGGTGCCTACCATATTGTTCTTAATGGGAAGCATTCCTTCTCTGTTCTGGTTGAAGTGTCCGTAACTTTTCTGTGAATCACACCCTTCTGTATTGTTGGTCCGAAAAATATTGGGTGGATCTCTAGCTGGTACTGCTACTGTCTGGATTGTTACCTGTTTTATGCTCGCTTAGTTGTCGTTTGTGAAAATCCCGTCTTCAATCGCGAATTGATTGTCTTTCAGTTGCGTTTGAAGCTTGCAATTGCTTAGCTTGATTGCTACCTTCTGCTTATCGTCTATGCAGGTAGTGAAGTGTGAATGTGTGATGCCATGTATCACAGAGGTTCTTTCCAACCTCTGGTGATTCACCTGAGAGTTTCTTGAACTATAGTTGATAAATGAAGTGTCAGTTCGTTCTTGTTTAAATGGAACTTGAGTTCGCTTGTGCTGTGTTTCTGGGGTGGTGGTTAATCTCTTCTTAATAAATGGATAGACTGTTTTGCTGTATTAATTTGCAGTCTACCTTGGGGTGATCGTTTCTGGATTAACTGATATACTTACCTCTGAAAAAATTTAGAAGTTATTAATGGCATAATGTGAGGACCAATCTCCATTATGGTCCCTGCAAAAGTAAGTTTTTTTTTTTTAATTATAATCTACTTGAATGTTTTCATTTTTGTGTGGATGGAAGTGTGACCAATTTGTTATAAGCTACTAAGGATTAGTACGCCATCCTGGGATTTCAATAACTGTTGAATATGTATTATTAGTCCTATTATAATTTATGGATGGGTTTGGGTTCACCATAATTCAACGAGACTCATGGTTGGTTGGTTAAAACGGTAAAAATCACCATAATTCAACCCTCAATCTGAGACTCATGGTTGGTTGGTTAAAACGGTAAAAATCAACCCAAATGATTCATATACACCTTTCATTTCAATAATTCGAGTTATTAGAATCAGTTGGATTATGATAGACTACAAACTCTTCCACCAACGAGGCAGGGGCGAGCCTTTATCATTCCATTTCAAACAATCAGATAATCAACGTGTAATTTTATTAATCAGGCTATCAAATGTGATTCTGCTAACTCTTCTATTTTGTTTGAACTTCGAAAATAATTTCAAAATATGAATCCTAGCTAAACACTTGGTTCATCCCTGGTTTAGGTTTGCCCTTCACAAGTTTCAGCAACAATATAATATTAACTTGGTCGTTTCGAGCTCTACTCCATGTTATCCGAAAACCGTAACCATTATTGTCACTTTGAATGGTTTGCACAAACCAGCTGCTCTGTTCATGTACTTTTTTCTTTTCTTGTTTGAACAACTTTCTTCTGAATAGTAGCTTATACTTCATTGTTAAGTTCCCCTTGAAAGAAACAAAAAGTTGAAAGTTCTGATTTTTAGTCACACCTAGGGGTGTACATGGGTCGGGTGGTTCGGGTTTAGTCATTTTAATCACCCGACCCATGCACTACGGTTTGAGAAATATCAAACCCAAACCCATCCAAAAAAAATTTAAACCCTACGGTTTGTTTCTAATTGGGTTGGGTCGGGTTGGCTATATTTTTTAAGTAAAAACCCAACCCAACATAAAATATATAATTATTCTATATCATAAAAATATTTTATAACTAATTAAAATTTCAAACGAATTAACCGAGGTGAAAGGTATCAAAATTCAAAAATGTTGTTTGAATTTTAATAAAATGTGATCTACTTCAACATATGTCTTGTTTTTTTCACAATATTTGTTGAAATAGGCTTAAAATGTTATAAACAAACGCACCCATAATATGTTATTCTATTAAAATTGTACACAAGAAAAAGGATTACGTGAATCATAACTATATTCAATTTATGTCTAAACTTTAAGTCGAAGAATGCATTAGATTAGGGAGACCATGAGAGAAAAACATGCCGAAATATCTTAATTTTCTCATAAGTATATGACTATATACGACATAAATATTTTTTAGATCCGAACTCATACTAATAATTGGAACACGGGTTGGGTCGGGTTCTACGGGTTGTGTAATCCAAAATCCAAACCCAACCCAAAGGAGGCGGGTTGTACAAAATAAAACCCTCACCCAACCCAAAACTTTTGTTTTAGCGATAAATACGGGTGGGTTGGGTTGGGTTGGACGGGTGGGTCGGTTTGCGGGTGTGTTTGTTCACCCCTAGTCACACCGCCAAAGACAAACAGTAAAACAAACACATCAAAAGTGGAGACTAAAAAGGGAGTTGCTAAAGGTCGCCCTTAAAATTGCTAAAGGTCGCCCTAAAAAGAATCAAAGTTACACTTTTACCCCCTTAGCTTCTTTACCTTCCTTTTATCAAACAAACACTACTTGGACTAAAAAAACACTATCTAAGGAGAGAAAAATCCATCATCGTCATTTTGAAGCCGATATCGTCGGAGTAGCGACTCCGACGAGGTAAATACATTAACTGAAAAAGGGGGAAAAAAAAGGGAACCGCGGTCAACGCGCGGTTGAACCGACGGCTGACCGCGGTCAACCTGCGGTTGGACCATGGCCGGACCGCAAATGACCTGCGGTTGGACCATGGCTGGACCGCAAATCACCTGCGGTCCAGCCATGGTCCAACCGCAGGTCATTTGCGGTCCGGCCATGGTCCAACCGCAGGTTGACCGCGGTCAGCCGTCGGTTCAACCGCGCGTTGATCGCGGTTGACCGTCGGTCTAACCGCGGTTTGACTGCGGTCGGCACGGTTTTTTTTTTTTTTTTTTTACCTTCTTCTTCTCCGACGAAGCCTTCTTCTCCGGCGAAGGCTGTTGTGCGGGTGGGATCGCGGGAGTTCGGCGCGATGGAGCGAGGTGCAGAGGTCGCCGACGGTTGGCGACGCGAGGTGGCAGGCAGTTGCAGAGGGTGATCGGCGCGATGGAGGGAGGTGTAGAGGTCGCCGACGGTTGGCGACGCGAGGTGGCCGGCGGTTGCAGAGGGTGATCGGCGGTGCGTCGGTGAACGCAGGAGTTTCAGAGGCGGTTGCAGAGGGTTTAGGGCTTGTTTGTTTCTTTCAATTTTGATTTTTTCATTAAGGGTATACAGGTAATTTGACATCTAAGTTAGAGCGATGTTTAGCAATTTTAAGGGCGACATTTAGCAATCCAGAAAAAGATCAGGTCAACGGCTAGTTTTTCCACTACTACTTTTTGGGATAATTATCGTGCAAATCAAATCAGTTAACACAGTAAGTAAACCGAGAAAAGGAAAACCCTTTTCGAATCTCGATTACCCATCTAAGAAATCGGAATTAAAAAGGGCTTCCGAATAAAAAGGCTTCCACTTCTCCACTAGAGTCTAGAGAGGAAGCAAGTCTCCGGTTTCTCTGTGGCCATCGAATATCCCCACGAACCCAATAGAAAAATACTGAGATACAGCAGCCAGCCGCAAGCTCAACAGCTAAAGCAGAGAATATTTGTGGATGGTTTTCTAAAGCTTTCATTTTCGGATCAAAGTTCCCTACTGCCACCATGTCTCGGTAATCAACTCCTCCCGTTTCTTTGTTTCTTCATTACTCTTGGCTGCGATCGAAGCGGAAGGAATAGTCGCATTGCTGTGAAAATTTTGTTTCTTTCCGGTGCTTAGCTGGTATTGATTGATTTTCTGAATGACTGCATAGAAAGATCATGTGGGTTCTGTGATCCACTGCGATAAGTTGCTTATCAATGTATTTTTTTAGCGATTCCTGCTCGGGAGGAGACCTTTAATCTCGACTACGTAGGTGTGGTCAAAGCCAAGTCGTTGTCGGTTGTCATCACATTGTCCAGAGCTTCTGTTCTGCGTAATTTTAACTGTCCGTTATTGCCCATCACCGCAACCCTAATTTAACATAGTGGGTGATTTCATCTACCAGTTAGGGCATTGCTTAGAGCACAAATTGTGCCCATCCTTTTGAATGTGTTTACGGTTTTTGCTTTACTTTTGGTGCTTATCATTTCGTTCTTACCCGGAAGCATTCGTTTAATTATATGGTTGAAAGTTCAAAACTTTCCTGTGATCTCACCCTTTTGTTGGTCAGAATATGGGCGGATATGCGGATATCTGGCCAGCACTTCTAATGTTTGGATTGCTGTCTATGTGGTGCTCGCTTAGTTGCCGTTTGTGCAAATCATCACCTGAAATAGGGCATTGAATTGATCGTCTTTCAGTTGCATTTCAAGCTTGCAACTTTTACCTGTATTGGTACATTCTGCTTATTACAAATAGTAGGCATCTATGCTCATAGTTAAGCATGATGCCATGTACCACAGCAGTTCCTCTCCCAACCTTATCTTGTTTAAACTCGGTTATGGACATTGAATTGATCGTCTTCAGTTGCATTTGAAGCTTGCAACTTTTACCTGTATTGGTACATTCTGCTTATTACAAGTAGTAGGCATCTATACCCGTAGTTAAGCGTGATGCCATGTACCACAGCAGTTCCTCTCCCTACCTTACCTTGTTTAAACTCGGTTATGGACATTGGAGTTAATTTCTTATGTGCTTCTGTGGTTTTTCATCTCTTCTTTATAATTGCAGACACTGTTTGCTGTATTAATTTTCAATTTATTTTCGCGTTATCACTTTTCTGGATTATTGTCATACTTTGATCTGTTCCCCATAGCTACCCTGTCTTGTTGCTTCTGATTCGTTTCACAATCTGTGCAGTCCATCATGGCTGGTCGATGGTAGAAGAATAGCCAGAAAAATTAAGAGTGCATCTGATCCTGAAAAAGTCAAATGGGAGAGCAACCCAACCAAATCTTGTCCAAATTGCCATCACATTATCGACAACAGTGATGTACGTGTCTTTTGACTTCGTTCATTTACTCTTATGCTATATTCAACATTGTAGAGAAACAGAGGTGTTTGTGCTCTCAAGGGTCATGGTTAAAGAAAGGCTTCAATTATGGACATTGATTTCTCTTATTTAGAAAGACCACTCATTTCTTGTTCTCTGGTATCCCTGTTGTAAGTATAGTATGAATTCATTTCTGTCCTTTAGTTGAAACATTGCATCACAATTCACACATCAATTGTCTGTGCAAAAGTCAATTTTCTTTGTGTGTAATGCTGACAGTACCTTTGCCATATCAAAACGAAAGTCAGAGCTATGAGTCCAATTCTATTCTGGCAGATTTGTAATGGACGTCTCTTTTCATGTATGTGATTCTAGGCTGTTATCAAATCTTATCTGTTTCTACTGGAAGCTGCAAGGTTCTGCTGACAATTTAACCAGACAATTTCATTATCAAATCTTATCTGTCGATGTTTGGTAATTGACCACTGTAAATCTCATGAATACGAAAAATCTCTTATGCTTTACAGGTTGTCCAAGCATGGCCTGGATTACCCAGAGGGGTCAAATTTGATCCAACTGACCAGGAAATCATCTGGCATTTGCTTGCAAAATCTGGCTTTGCTTCTCATAAACCCCATCCATTCATTGAGGAGTTCATACCGACTGTTGACAATGATGATGGGATCTGTTACACTCATCCCAAGAACCTACCAGGTTTATGGTGTGAATATTCCAACGTTCATATATTTTCATCGGCCAGTCTTTGCAATTACCTGTAGCCTAATGATCTCTAATCTGGCCAGGTGTGAAACAAGATGGGATTACATCTCACTTCTTTCACAGGGCAATCAAAGCTTACAATACCGGGACACGAAAGCGCAGAAAGATTCAAGGTGATGATGTTGGTGATGTTCGCTGGCACAAAACTGGCAGGACTAAGCCGGTGGGCTTGGATGGCGTGCAGAAAGGTTGTAAGAAAATAATGGTTCTCTACACTAGTTTGGTAAGGGGAGGTAAAGCTGAGAAAACAAACTGGGTGATGCATCAGTACCACCTTGGAACGGGCGAGGACGAGAATGATGGGGAATATGTGATTTCAAAGATATTTTATCAGCAGCAACAACAAGCTAACAAGGCCAATAAAACTGAAGAAGAGCTATCTGAAACTATTGATCATGCCTTGATTACAAATGTTGATCCAGTCACTCCCATGTCCGTCACACCTGATCCTCCTCTCCATGAGAGGCGTTTTTGTGATACTGACCTTGTGAAAGACTCTGCAATTGCTGATCCTTATCTTCAGGTTTGTTGGTTCTACTATGGGTTTGTTAGTTTAGCTTTTACTTAAAAGATAAGTTGTTGATATACGTGTGAATGAGGTGACTTCGCCTGATTACTTGTTGACATGTTTTTCCTTTTGATTGCATTGAAGTATACGGAGCTTGAACATCTAGATGATGAGGTTCAGCCCCTGACTGAAAACCCTAGTTGCAATGATCTGGTGCCAGTGACTGAATATCAAGACTTAGATAACAACAAAGACTGTGGCGAGGAAGAAGCGAAATGGTGGGACGGTGAGTCACAGAACTTGTTGGATTCGCAACAGATGGTAGAAGGTCTGTCCGTATGTGAAGAGTTCCTTCAGAGCCAGTCTCCGAGTAGAGATGGGAATGGAGATCCATTACCGAATAGAAAATCATCTTTTTCGTTCCAGTATGAAGGTGCAGAGGATTTGAAGAAGGATTTAGAGGAATGCCAAACTCTGGCTGTTGACCCTGCAAATATAGAACTCGATACACCTCCCGAGTTCAGACTCAGCCAGCTTGTATGTATTGCCTGCTATTCTCCACAACTCTCTTTTATGCTTCTCGCTTTTCTGCAACTAATTTTTGTTGCTGTTGTTGATATGCTTTGGTGTAGGAATTTGGATCTCAGGAAAGCTTTCTGGCATGGGGGGGAGGAGACATAAAATGATTGGCTAGCTACAAGGCTTAACATGTTTTGGTGTGGATCGAAAGAGAGGAAGCACCTGATCGGCTATATCCTTATTTGTATATGTAAATTCCAATTAGTAACAATGGAGATGGTGGTTGGTGGGAGGGTTTTTGAGGACTCCTATATTTTGTACCACCTTGGCAGCTTAATGCAGAAAGGCAACTGCTGCTCGTTTTGTAACTAATGTCTGATGCTCTGCTCTTTGTTTTGAATGGAGAACACACGTCTGTGATTCGTAAAGTGTTCTTCTCAATGTAGGGTAATCAGAATGAACCCTGTGCCAAGCAAGCTCCTCTTGTTACGACCTTGTATGCTTTTCTTTGGTCTCCCCTCTTGCAGTTGACACAGCCATCTAGCTATTGTGCTTTATAGTTGGTATCTGCCGCATTGCAAGTACCGGCTTGTATAATGAAAATGCTCTGCTAAGACTTGCTCGTGATCACGTCGTACTTGTCAACACTTCATGCTCGACATTGGCACTTCTTCGTACTCTGTATCAAGGCAATGATGAGCTAGGTTAACATGGTCTCAATAAGTCTTATCGAACTTCCATATGTTGGATTGATGGAAATGGTTTCCACGGGTGCCATGGTTGAGTACAATGTTGACATGAATGAAACCATAATTTATGGGTTAAAAAATCTGTCATCACAACCACTTAACCAAACTTAGGTTGCTAACAAATAACATTCTTTTATCTAAAATGCCACCTTACAGACCCTACAAGGTGACATGGGCATGTACATTTTGATAATGTACATGGCAACAGAGACCATATGACAAACAACTCATCCCGCAATTATAAGTTAGTCACCTCTTTACCGATCCCAAAGCTAGCTAGCTAGTCCCAGTCAGTCATGGCCACCATCATATCATATTCATTGCTAGCTCTATCCCTTTGGCTGGCAGTTTGGCGTCATATTGTTATGAAATTTCCTCTGCCTCTGCCCCTGCCCCGGTCCCTACACTCTCTGCAAAATATGATCGATGTCAGTTTCACGAGAAACAGAGTGGAACTGAAATAAAGAAAAAGAGGGTCCTCTTACCATTTCCCCTCTTATTTTGGTTCCCTTGGCATGCAGTACAGACTACAGAGAGCAGCTAAAGAACAGTGACAGATAGGGCCTTCCTTCCGCAGAACAACCTGTTGTTTTGGATCTAGTAACATGTATAGCAAAATTAAGGAGAACGATGGTGTTTGTTTTCATACAGGGCCCTCCCCTTTTGCCCTCTTTTGCTCTGTGTTGCTGGCTAGCTAGCTGGTCCTTGTCAAGTTCCGTGCATCTGGGGCTATGAGGTTTCGCTTTTGGGTACGTAAACCAGACACGATTTGGGACAAAGTAATAAAGGAATGGAGCTAAAGCGATAAGATATGTCCACTGACCACTGCTGCCCACATATATATTCAACCCTTCTCTTTTCCTCTGTTTCTTCCTACCACTAAGCATAAATTGGACCATCACAAGAACGAGAGAGTGTTTGCTGCTCATTGTGGTGGCCTGGAGAAAGTAGTGGTGGCAAAATGTGAAAGCGGCGGGTAGGAATTATTGGAGAGAGCCATTTGTTGGGTTGTTCTGCTGAAGACGAAGGGAGTATGAGGGAGTTCACGTGTGTGTGTTCTAATCATAATCATGAGCGAGCTGGTGAGGAAATGTGATGTTTCATTTCGTTGAATACGAATTACGAGTTGGGATGTTTTGTCCATAGTAGGTGCATGGATGGACCTCCCCATCACCATCGACATCTAGGGGGACCAAGTTACAAGGGGGGGAATTCATCGATCGAATAAGCACCGAACGGTATGAGATTGTAAGATAGTAGACGAACTGAATTAGTATATACCGAATTAGACGGACGAAGTTGGTATTTTGTGAACAAGAACTGGTGGATGTGAAGTCACTACGAGAATATATTTATTTTGCAACAAAAAAGTCCCTAAACCTAAAGGCTAAAATCACAATACTGGTTGCTAATACACTTTCCTGACCAACAAATTTTGAAAGAAAAATCGTAGGCAAGAAAATAGCGGAATTTTTCTATCGCAATCAATTTTGGCAATGGACAAAATGTTGACTTTGTTGCGAACTTTCTTATATGGCTGTCATGTGTAAATTATTGGTTAAGAGTATAGCGATTAATCACCATAAATACTAATGACAACCAGTATATGTAATTTTCCTTTACACAAAAGAGATTTAATTTATTCATTGTCCTCCACATACTATCTTCAACTACTTTTCCGAAGCTACCGCTATTATACTATTCCTCTCAAGTTTCTATGCCCTCTCAAGGAAATAGTTTACCTGCTTACATATTGTGATGCAATTGTTGTAATCAAAGCAATTGCCTTGTCTCTATCGATTTTCTCAGCCACTATCAACCAATAAGCAATTGTTATTCCTACTTCCCCACATATGATCATTATTGGATTTGTAATTCCTTTGAAACTTCGGACGCGCCTCTCGAGCCAAATTGACCAACATATTACAAGAATAGATACCCATGTGCACTATTGCTTCTGCTCTTCAGGATAGGGCTGGCAGAACGGTTTTCGGTTAGCAGTTAACCGCTCTGTATTGGCGTCGGTCGGTTGGCGAGGGAGAGGGGGGGGGGGGGTGGTCGGCTAGCCGATTAACCGCGGTCAGTAACCGGCGATTAACCGGCTAACCGACCACCCCCTTAATCAAAACGACCCAGCAGCCCTACCTAAACGACCCCGCTCCCACCCACCCGATTGACAAAAACGACCCCTCTCCTCTCCAACCCTAATTGAGTCGACCTCCTTCCCCTTCATCCTTCGTCCTTCACTTCTTCCCAGCCGCCACCCGCCACAGACCTCGAGCCTCTGCCTCCCCCTTCTCGCACGACGTCGACGCCAATGGTCACCACTCACCAGCCTCGTCCCTCGCCGTCGCCGCCAACCACCATTGCACCGGCCACCCTCGTGTCACGACACGCAGCGGCGCAGCGCAGCAGTCTGCCAGTCTCCGTTTCCTGCTGCGCCGCCCGCCGTCTCCCGCCGCCGCGAGTCGTCTCCCGCCGTCTCCCTCCGCCGCAAGTCGTCTCCCTCCGCGAGTCGTCTCCCGCCGCCGCGAATCGCCTCGAGCCTCCGACATTTCCGCAGTTTCACAGGTAAACCGAGCCGAGACCGAAAACTGGTCGGTCGGTCGGCGGTTAACCAAGCTTGTTGCTCGGTCGGTTGGCGGCAGGCATAGTGGTGGTTTCGGCTTAACCGATAACCGAGCTTTTGGTTTTCGGTTAAACCAAAACCGACCGACTGACAGTCCTACTTCAGGATAGTTGGTTGGCCACTCCTGAATTATAGTGGAGAAGATCTTGACACCAAACTTTGTCTAATAAGCCGATCCGATAAGGCCCTACTTTATCGCCCTTTTTAACGAGCTTCCATTTGATCAAGATGAGGAGAAAGTGAAAAGGACATTATAATTAATTTCTTCCAATATCTTAATTGGACACAAAGAGAAAGGCAAATGAGCAAATGAGCATCATTGAAGTATGAACATCCGCCCTTGTACTTCCCCATATATGTTCAATGTGAATGACAAACTCATGCAAGAATATAATCCATATACAATGCATAACTTACACTTACGCTCACGCGCTTGCTATGGTCAAGCCATTTTGTTTTAGCAAGTAAGGAAAGTCGCAGTGGAGGTGGAGAGGAGCGGGATCGTAGAACTTGGATATTTCCTTGTGAAAAACAATTCGTAATATTATTGTTATACAAGCAAATAAATAAATTATATAAATGATCACATAGCATTAAAAAAGCTCAATTTTTTAATCTTAATCTAAAAAAAATTCTCCGGCTACTATATATACAAAAGTCAATCCTATTTTTTAATCAGTCAGGCAATAACATTTGTTTTTCTTTGTGGATTTGAAAAATGAAGGTTTTGGTATAATTTGAGTTTTGAAAAACTATGGATATATGAGGGTTTTGGGTTTATTATGGATTTGATAAAGAAGATTGTTTGTTTGAGGAATTTCATAATTGATTTTGTTAATTAAATTTGTATGTATGAAGTGTATTGAAGCTACTGAATGTGTTCTAGATGGAGGAGCAGTACCACATCGATGAATTAACACTGAGGAGCCCTCGGGACGACATCGTACATCACCCGGAAGCAATTGAAGAGCTGGGAAGAAACAGTGTCATCCCAATTAGTGTTTTTAGCCGTTTTCCATTTTTACTGTACAACTACACGTGTCTAGCTATGATTAGTGGTTAGTTTATATTCTTGTTTATCACCGTTGTACAGCTGTGGGTGGGTTAAACTTTCCTTCCCTTCTTGAAGAAGGAGTTGGGAGTTCATATAAATACAAGGCCTTGAGCCAGAGAGAAACCCGTGGGTTTCATTACAATAGACTCTGATTAAGGAATTTCACATGGTATTAGAGCCTGGTTCAGGCATCTAGGGTTTTCTTTACCCACATTGCCCGCATTCATCTTCCTCACCCATCTCATTTCCTGATTCTACTTTCTGCTTCCAACTATGTCGACGGAGGCAGCTGCTTCAACAGTAGCTACTAGTTCTATTAGTACTACAGTGGTGTCTACAGTCACCATTCTATGTCAACCCTAATGAGGCATTGAACTTTCCAATCAAGCTCACAGGGACGGCTAACTACAATCTCTGGAGTCGTACTGTGAGAGTTGCTTTGAAGAGCAAGAACAAGCTGGGTTTTATAAATGGCACCATCCCAGTTCCAGATCCAACCCATGAGAGCTGTCAAGCCTGGGAACAAAGCAACACTGAAATCTACTTCTTGATCCTTGGGTCACCGGACCCTTCTCTGGTTAACAGTATCATCTCAGGACAATGCAAAACTACTCTGGGATGATCCGAGGCAACATTATGGACAAGCTGACAATATCTGAATTAGTGACCTCCAGACTGCGGTGTATACCCTAAAACAAGGTAACAAGTCTGTGAATCAATTCTATTCTGAGCTGAAAGGACATTGGAAAGAATTGGTTCAATTTCTGCCTATTCCAGCTTGTGTCTGTGGAGATCATATGAACATGGCTATACCTTGTATTACAGAAACTACTGTTCAGAAATATAGGGACAATGAATTTGTTACTAGGTTCATAACTGGTCTGAATGAATCTTATGGAGGAGTCAAGACAAATCTCCTCATGATGCATCCATTGCCTACTATGGAAACTGCTTTTCATTATGCCATACAACATGAGAGACAGGTGACTAGACCTAGTCAGGAATCACAGGTTGATACTGTTGCCTTGCTTGCTGCAAACCGGGCAAAATGAAAAGAGAATACTAGAGGAGGACAAGGTACTCTTTTCTGCAGATACTGAAAGAAAGACAGCCATGTTATTGCTGATTGTTACAGACTCAAAAGAAAGAACAAAGAATATGGTCTTCCTCCCCATTTGCAGGACAAGTTCAGAGTATGGACAATGTTGGGGGATGTATTTTGCCTAAGCCAGAGACTAGGTCTACAACTGAGAATATGGATGGATTTAGAAACTTAAGGCTGTCCAATGATGATATTAGTAGACTGCAGAAGATTCTGTCACAGTTTGGGTCTCCTGGATCTCCCACTTCCCCTGTCTCACCTGGAACTAATCAGAATGGACATCAATCTCAACAAACAGTTGTGAATTCTGTGAGCAGACACCTATCAGTGAATCCCAACTATGCAGGTAAATACACACTTACCTCATATTTACAACAACATTCATTGGAATTTATTAATGTGTGGTTCTTAGACATATGAGCAACATATCATGTGACATGTTTTATTTCTAGCTTCATTAGACACAAACCTATTATGAATGTTTCAGTAACTTTACCAAATGGTTCTAAAACACCAGCAACTCATTCTGGCAGTGTAGGTTTGTCACCACATCTTGTCATTCATGATGTGCTGTTTGTCCCAACCTTATCTTCTAACCTTGTTTTAGTGAGTAAACTCACACAGTCCTTGCCCATCTCACTCATTTTTAATCAACCATTTGTTCTATCTAGGACCTTCTAACCAAGAGGATGATTGGTTTTGCCCAAGAGACTAGAGGATTATATCACCTTATACCTACTTCAGAAGACCAATCTATACATGTTAATTCCCTCAAGACACACAATCTCACACCTCAATCCTTTGATGTCTGGCATTGGTGATTGGGGCACCCCTCTGATGTTAGAGCTAAGGAGCTGAAGAAGTCCATTCCTAGTATAAATATAGAAACTTTACATCACTGTGATGTTTGTCATATGTCTAAACAAAAGCGTCTTTCTTTTCCTTTAAGCCAGTCCATTGCAAAAGAGATATTTGATCTCATTCATGTTGACATTTGGGGCCCTTTGGTTGTTTCCAGTTACAATGGGTGTCACTACTTCCTTACTATTGTGGATGACAGATCTAGATGTGTTTGGACATATCTAATGAAGTTTAAAAGTGAAGCT